CCTCCTCTTCCACAGGCTCAGGATGTATACAAAGTAAGCACCCTGGCTCCCTGCTGAGTCACTTAGCCAAACCTCTAGACTCCTCAAGTTGACACAGTGCATCAACCGTAACAGTACATATTTCTTTTTTTGTTGTTTCCCTTTGATATTTGTTTTGCTTCCTGGAAATTTTCTTCAACTTTTTTAAAAATTATTTTTAAAAATGAATAGGGTAGCTGGGCATGGTTGGTACAGGATGGGTAGCTCAGCACCATGAAAAGAAAAGCATAAGGGCTAGGAGTGTAGCTCAGTGTGGAATGTATGCTCGTGTGCATAAGACCTGGTTTCAACCTCTTCTGTCAAAGCCAAAAGAATATATGAAATTTACCATTTTCAGCTGGGCATGGTGGCACACTCCTGTATTCCCAGCACTCAGGAGGCTGAGTTAGGAGGATCATTGTGAGATTGAGGCCAGGCTGGGCTACAAAGTGAGCTCAAGGCCAGCCTGAACTGCATAGTGAGACCCTGTCTCAAAAAGCTAAAAAAAAAAAAAAAAAAAGGATTTGGAAAGGGATGGTAATGTATCTCAGTGTGCAGGTGCTGGGTTCAGTCCTCTGTACTGCAAAGAACAATATATTTTTGTTTTCCCCTAGCGTCTGGCTACCACGCTTCTACTTTCTGTTCCTGTGAATGGTTGCTACCATAGATACTTCAAATATATAGAAGCATAGAGTGTTTGTCTTTTTGGTTTTTGTTTGTTTGTTTGTTTTTTGTCTTTTTTTGAGACAGGGTCTCACTATGCAGTTCAGGCTGGCCTTGAGCTCACTTTGTAGCCCAGGCTGGTCTCAAACTCACAACGATCCTCCTGCCTCAGCCTCCTGAGTGCTGGGATTACATGCATGTGCTACCACACCAGGCTTAGTATTTATCTTTTTGAACTGGTTTCCCTCATTTAGTATTGTGTCTTCAATGTTCAACCATATTGTTTTATGTCAGAATTTCTCTTATTTCTAATGTTGAATAGTATTCTCTCTATTGTATGTACATATATGCTTCACTTTGTTTACCTTTTTTTTCTTCTTTTTTTTTGACCTTTTTGAGACAGTGTCTTACTATGCAGTTCAGGCTGGCCTTGAACTCACTTTGTAGCCTATGCTGGTCTCGAACTCACAGCTGTCCTCCTGCCTCAGCCTCCCGTGTGCTGGGATTACCCTTTCATTTATTTGGGGACACTTGGTTAACTTCATTGCTTTTATCTATGGTAAACAGTGGTGCTGTGAAATAGATGTACAAATACCTCTTTAAAATCCTACTTTCAGTTTGCATAGATGTATCCTCAAGTGGAATTTGTTTGCTCTATAATCATGTATAGTAATTTTGTCTTGCTGAGATTATATTTTTTTATTCCTGTGGTAGTTATATTATATTACTTCACTATGAGACAGTGTCTTGCTTTGCTGCCCAGGTTGTTCTCAAACTCCTGGATTTAAGGGATCTTGCTGTTTCACCCTTCCAAGTAGCTTGAACTACAGGCTTTTTTTATCCCCTTTGTTGTACTGGGGATAGAATCTAGGGCCTCACACGTGCTAGGGAAGTGCTCTGTCACAGAGCTATACCTCCAGCCCTTTTTATTTCTTATTTTGTAACAGAGGCTTGCTAAGTTGCCCAAGAAGAACTCTGACTTGTGTTTCTTCTGTCTCAGTCCCCACAGTAGCTAGATTACAGTTGTACATGACTATTTTTTAATGGTAGCCACCCCATTGAATTTTGAGATGATACATCATTATGGTTTTTTTGTTTGTCTTTTTGAGGTACTAGAGATCTAACCCAGGGTGTTGTACTACTGAGTTACATCTCCAGCTCTTCAGTGTGTGTCCATGTGCGTGCATGTTTATGTGCTTGTGGAGGGTGCTGGGTATTGAACCCAGGGTCTTCACACTGAGCCCCATCCCCAGCCCTTTTATATTCTTGATTTTGAGGCTGGGTCTTGCTAAATTGCTCAGGCTGGGCTTCAGTTTGCAGTCCTCCTGCCACACCCTCCCACAGCACTGGGATTACAGGCATGCACCACCATGTGCAGCACCAGCTCTATTTCTCATTTTGCGACAGGGTTTTGCTAAGTTGTTCAAGGAGAATTTGAACTTGCAGTCTCCCTGCCTAAGCCTTTCTCAATGCTGGGAGAACAGGTGTGCTGATAATACTATTTTTATCACAGAGAGGTAGGGTAAATTGCCAGAGATGATAGAGCTGGGATTTGAACCTAAGCTCTCTTGCTCCAATTCTGTGCCCTATCCACTGCATAAATGTTGACATTGTTAGTATATCTTTTAACCTTTTCTTTTCTAAATCTAGAATATGTTGTATCTTTCAGATCTTTTGGTGGAATTTGGAACAATTCTAGTTTACACATGTGAGAAGAGTTGCTGGCCTCAAAATCATCACACTCCCGTGGAAGAATATTGCATTACACAAGAAGATCCAGATGAGTTACTATTTAAGTAGAGCATTCCCTTTTATTATAGAAATGAAAACAAATTTTAATATACAAATCTGTGTGTGTTTATCTTATTTTAACCCTCAAGTGTTTGGTTTTGTTTGTGGTGCTGAGGATGGAGCCCTGGGCCTTGTGCATGCTAGGCAAGCACTGATCCACTGAGCAACACCCTAGCTTGAATTCTTGTTTTAAAGCTTTGTCCTTACTTTTTTGGCTGGGCCTGGAGCTAGCACCTTTGGATCTTGGGCTGCTGTATCCTTCAGATCAGTGGCCTTTCTACACAGTCATAGCTTGGAAAACTCTTGTTTCCAGGCATATAGCTCAGCAGTACAGTGCCTGCCTGGCAAGTATAAGGTCCTGAGTTTGATTCCTGGTACTAAAAAAAAAAAGAGGAAAATGCATGTCCCTGCTGCCAGCTCTGGACGCTGCCAGACCAAACTGGTCAACCTGCTCTATCTAGCTGTGCAAGGCCCAGACCTGGGGCACTGGCTGCTTAGATTCGCCCTGTTTCCCTTTTCATTGCTCCCTCTGCCTTCCTTGTCCTCCCCTCTTGCTCCTACAGCATCACAGGAAGTGTCCCTCACTCTCTGGACATTGTCCCTTTATCCAGCTGTCCACCTTTATTTATTTATTTTGCAGGGGTAGTGGGAATTGAACTCAGGACCTGTGCTTCCCAGGTAGGCACTTGTGCCACTGAGCTACATCCCCGGCCCCTGTCAAACTTTATAGTCTGCCCTTTGTTCAGTTTCAGTGTTATCAGTCCTCCTTTTCTGCTGCTCTTGAGAGCAGCATCAAAGCATAACATTCCTAGAAAACCAAAACAAGGGGCTGGGGATATAACTCAGCAGCATAGCACCTGCTTGGCAAGCACCTGCTTGGGGCAAGTGCAAGGTCCTGAGTTCAATTCGCAGTACAGAAAAAAAAAAAAAAAAAAAAAAAAAAAAGAACCACTGGGCGTGGTGGCACACCCCTGTAATCCCAGCACTTGGGAGGCTAACTAGGAGGATCATTGCAAGTTCAAGGCCAGCTTGGGCTACAAAGTAAGTTCAAGACCAGCCTGAACTGTGTTGTGAGACCTTGTCTCAAAAAGACAAAACCAAGCAACAAAAAAGGAGAGAAACAAAACAAAACAAACGCACTCCTGCTAGCTGTGTGCAAACATGCCATTTGCCTATGTTCATGAGGCTCAGAGGAGCAGGAGGCAGGGTTCTTCTATGCAGTGCGACTTCTGAGAAAAGTATTGGATCCACCCCTGGCCCCAGCCCCAGCCCCTGCTCCTGAAAGAAGCAAATGCATGTGTACAAACTGAAGATTCTTCCGGGTGTGGTGGCACACACCTGTAATCCCAGCACTTGGAGGCTGTGGCAGGAGGATCATTGCAAGTTCAAGGCCAGCCTGGGCTACAAAATGAGCTCAAGGCCAGCCTGAACTGCATAGCGAGACCCTGTCTCAAAAAGCAGGAAAAAAAAAACAAAACAAAACCTTGGCGATTGTGGGAACTGAGGCTCCCAGAGGCCTGGATTTGCAGGACTGAAGCTGAGCAAAGCCTTGCAGACATCTGATTTCTTCTTTCTCTGTCATGCTGGTGGTGACTGCTTTTGCCTGTGGCACTTCTGGGGTAGGAGAGACTGCTTCAGCCTGTCAGACCAGTTACACCAACTGGAACAGAAGGTGACTACCTGATTTACAGGTGTAGCACTTTGGATTTATTTAAATGGGCCAAGGAGTCCACCCATCTGATGAGAGGATGAAGAAGAGTGCATGAGAGTGTTTTTTCAAGAATCAGAAGTTAGCCAGGGGTGGTGGTGCACTCCTGTAATCCCAGAACTTGGCAGGCTGAGGCAGGAGGATCACTGTGAGTTCGAGCCAGCCTGGGCTACAAAGTGAGCTCAAAACCAGCCTGAACTGCATAGTAATACCTTGTCTCAGGAAAAAGAAAAAAAAAATCAAAAGTTGATACAGATATTTTCACATATCCTAAGTAGGTGTTATGTTTCTGATTTTTTTTTTTTTTTGAGGATTATACAAAAGGCCTTTATACTAAGTTATAACTCCAGCTCTTTTTATTTTGAAATAGGGCCTCACTAAGTGTCACTAGGTCACTAAATTACCCAGGCTAGGTTTGAGTTTGTGGTCCTACTGCCTCAGCCTCCCAGAGTCCTGGAATTATAGGCAGGCACCACCATACCTGATTTGTTTTTGATTTTTAGATGAAGACACTTATGGTGATCAAACACATCCTTGGATCTAGTTATATGCATTTGGGTTGAGTCTTACCTAGGTAAATAGAATAGAGATTATCAGGAGCACCATGATCCTGTAAAAGCAAATGTGTGACATATTATGAGGAAAGCAAGGCATAAGTAAAGAAGTCCAGTATAAACCCTTTTCTATGGAAGTCTGAGGCGGGAGGATTGCAAGTTGGAGCCCAGTCTGGGCAACTTAGTGAAATCCTGTTTCAGAATAAAAAATTTTAAAAGGGCTGGGAATGTGCAAAGGCCCTGGGGTAAATCCCCAATACCACCCACCTACACGCAGTAAAATTGTGTGTACTGCTCTGTGAAAGACCTAAGTCTAGGAGGACACCTATACCACAAAGGTCCTGATGAACAGGCTGGGCTTGTGGTGTAGGTGAGACTTTCAGCTTTTTACTTCCTGCATTTGAATCCTATTAGAACTTAGTAAACTGGGCAAGCATTCTATACTCCATACACACATATGCAAACACACACCCAACAGACCCAGAAAGAAAAGCAAAAGCTATGAGAATTAGGCACCAAGCCCAGCTCATGCCAAAGGGAAGATAGGACAGGCAGGAGAGAACACAAGGAAAATGGTGCCTGTGTGCAGTGTACTGAGAGAGGGAAGGTTATCCTCCCATAGAGGCCATCTGTTAGGTTTATTGCACAGCAGGGTCCTTCGGAGAGCTGGGCCATTGGTGGGGAGGGACTCAGAAGCCCGTTCTGAGGGTTGTCCCCAACCTGAGTCAGGCTCTCCAGCCCTCCCTGCCCTTCAGGCATCAGCAGCACAGCCTACGTATTCCTCAAAAACCAGCTCTGTGGTTGGTGTACTGAGGCCAGGTTGGCTACAAAGTGAGCTCAAGGCCAGGCTAAACTGCATAGCAAGTCCCTCACCCACCCCCACCTACCCCCCCAAAAAAATTCAAAGAGCATGAGCATTTGGGGAACAGGAAAGTAAGGTTATTTATTTATTTATTTTTGGTCACAGGGATTGAGCTCAGGACCTCACACTTGCCGGACAGGTGCTGTGCCACTGAGCTATATCTGCAGCCCATAGAAAAGTTGAAAGAAGCTGGGTGTGCTGGTGCACGCCTGTAATCCCAGCACTCGGGAGGCTGAGGCAGGAGGATTGGTGCGAGTTCGAGGCCAGCCTGGGCTACAAAGTGAGCTCAAGGCCAGCCTGAACTGCATAGTGAGACCCTGTCTCAAAAAGAAAAAAAAAAAAAAAGTTTAAAGAATAAAAATTATCCACAATTCTACCACCTGCTAATGTACAAAAATATCAACTATTTTTTTCTTCCTGCCTTTTGATATAATTGTGGGTCCCTGATATTTGGGTCACAGGGAGAGGGCTTATATGGTGGCCAGGATGAAATGACTTCATCCAAACTGGAGTGTACCTGCCTTATCTCAGGCTGCCATCAAGGATGTCAGGCACATTCCTGGTGCTGACAGCACCAGAATCCAGTGGGTCCCACAGCTCCATGCACCACTCGAACTGTTTTGTTTCTAGTACATTGGAAAGCCATGGTGGTGGTGTGGGTGAGCCCGGGTTAGTCTAAGGGCAATCACAGTGCTTACAACATGAGGTGGCTACTGTCAGCTCAAGCTGGATCCCTACATGTGTAAATGGTTTTGTGTTTTTCACTTAACATTATATTTTGAGCATGTTCCTATCAGTAAATATTTTCCCATAATTGCTGCAAAATATCTTTTAAAATATGCATCAAAACTTTGTGCACTGGAGCCAAGTGTGGTGGTGCACGCCTGTAATCCCAGCACTCGGGAGGCTGAGGCAGGAGGATTGTTGTGAGTTCGAGACCAGCCTGGGCTACAAAGTGAGCTCAAGACTGGCCTGAACTGCATAGCGAGACCCTCCCTGTCTCAAAAAGCAAAAAAAAAAAAAAAATTGTGCAATTTTTAGCTATTTTTAATAATTTTTGTTCTCATGGTAACCATCCATGAAAAGACTAAATCTTTTTCTGTTTTTAAAAATTTATTTTTTTTTTTAGTTCTGTATGCAGGTGTGTCTACGTGTATGCCAGCAGTGCTCTACCATTGAGCCTACATTCCCAGCTCAAAGAAGGACAAAGCTCTCCAATTTGAATGAACTAGTCAAAAGCTGTGCACCAGGGCCAGAGATGTAGATTAGTGGTGGAGTGCTTGCCCAGCACGCAGTAAGCCCTAGCTTGGTTTCCCAGCACTAGAAAAAATAAATTTATCCTTGTGTATGAGGTGATAGGGCTATACAAAAGCTTCTAGGGAGGATCACTTAAGTCTAGCAGTTTGAAGCTGTCCTTGGAAACATTGCAAAACCATATCTCAAAAAGGGGGTGAAGGCCAAGTGTGGTGGTGCATCCTCCTACCATAGGCGGAGGGAGGAGAATCACCCTAAGTTTGAGGCTAGCCTGGACTACATAGCCAGATTCTGTATCAAAAAAAAAACCAAAATTGTGTGTGTGTGTGTGTGTGTGTGTGTGTGTGAGAGAGAGAGACAGAGAGAGAGAGAGAGGGAGAGACAGAGAGACAGAGAGAGACAGAGAGAGGCTGTGCATAATTGTAACAATTTTTAAGCATTGCTAAATTCCCCTCTTAAAAAGCTGTGCTTTAGAATTCTTACCTGGGGTGTATGGGAATGTGTTGGGGAAAAAAATACATTGCTTCTGAACAAGCAGCTATAAATTGGGGTTCTCACAACCCTTTTCTTCAGGTCAGGCTAATTCATCTGAAAGTCTCACAGCACTCAGGGAACTGGTTTATTATAAAGGGTCTTACAAAGGTTACAGGTGTAGAGGTGCACAGGGCAAGGTATGGGAGAAATGTGTGTGATGCTTCTTTGCCTTCTCTGAGTAAACGTCCACGTGTCTACCTACCTGGAAGTTCTCCAACCCTGTTCTTTTGTGGTTTGTTTTGAGATAAAGAGTTGCTAGTACAGGCCACCCTTGAACTCATTGTGTTGCTCACGCTGTCCTCAAACTTGCAGTCCTCCTACCTCATGCTCCCAAGTGCTGGAATTACAGGTGTGGGCCATGAATTCAATGGAGACATCATCGCGTAGGTGTGACTGAAACATAGGTTACCTTGTAGAAATGTGACTGGGTGCTGAGCATGGTAGTGCACACCTGTAATTCCAGCACTCTGGGAGGCTGAGACCAGAGGATTGTGTTTGAGCCAGGGAATTTAGCAATTTAACAAGACCCTGTCTCAAAAAATTTAAAAAGGGGCTGGGGATGTAGTTCAGTCAGTGGGAAGATACTAGATTCAATCCCCAGTACTGGGGGAAAAAAAAAAAAAGGACAAAAAGCATATAATCTGGGGGCTGGGGATTTAGCTCAACGGCATAGCGCCTGCCTAGCAAGTGCGAGGTTGTGAGTTCAATTCCCAGTACCAGAAAAAAAAACAAAAAATAAAAATAAATAAATAAATAAATAAACGTATAATCTAATGCTACCGTGATAGATTTGGTGGAGGAAACCTGGCAAGGCAATCTGGCTGCTCTGCAGCATTTTTCCTCAAGGTATAGGAAGGGCCTCTGGCATGAGGAGAATCTCATGACCTACTATTAGAGCTGGTCAGACAATTCTTTAAGCTCCCTCACAGAAAGATGGGGAGATTAGTTTCTATGATTCACCTTGGGAAGATACATTCTAGTTTCTATGACCTGCCTTTGGGAGGGAGTTATAAGCCAGGAACATCAGTCAAAACCCAAAATGTGAGTTTTGTTTTCTTATTCTTTGAGAACTGAATGTTACAGTATTTTTTCTTTTTGCCAGTTTAATAGGTAGAAATAGTTGGGCATGGTGGAACATACCTATAATCCCAGCATTCTTCCAGGCTGAGGCAGGAGAATGACAAGTTTGAGCACAGCAACATAAGGTTTTTTTTTCTTTTTGTCTTTTTTGAGACAGGGTCTCACTATGCAGTTCAGGCCAGCCTTGAGATCACTTTGTAGCCCAGGCTGGTCTCAAACTTGCAAACCATCCTCCTGCCTCAGCCTCCCCAGTGCTGGGATTACAGGTGTGTGCCACCACACCTGGCAACAACATAGGATTTAGTGAGACCCTGTTTTAAAAACAAAAGCATGGTTGTGGATGTAGCTCAGTGCAAAAGCCCTGGGTTCAACCCCAGATACCATACACACACACATACACACACACACACACACACACACACATAACACACACACAGGAAGCTAGGAGTACTATTTTTTGGAAGGTTGGTTTGAGTTTTGCAGTGCTCAAAATTAAATTTAGAGCCTCATGCATGCTAAGCATGTGTTCAAATCCACATTGTACATTTTCTTTGCATATGCACCTTTAAAGCCTTTTACTTTGCCAGTATTTTTTATTCTTTTAAACTTTAAATGTTTGCCAGTATTTTTAAATTTATTTATTTTTGTGATTTTAGGGATTGAACCCAGGGCTTTCCCACTAAGCTACATTCTCAGCTTTATGTATGTAACCCAGGGTGGACTAGAACTCATGATACTCGACCTGCCTGAGCCCAGCATGTAGCACCTCGCTCAGCTTGGGTTTGAACTCTTTAATCTTCCTGTTTTAGCCTCCCAGAGTGCTGGGATTACAGTTGGGCGCCATGATACCCGGTTTGCCAGAATTTTTTGAAGGAGCAGACCGTTCGCTTGTTAATTTGTAAGAGCTCTTTGCCGGGCCTGGTGACCCACAAATGTAACCCCAGCACTTGGGAAGCTGAGGCAGGAGGATCGTTGCGAGTTCGAGGCCAGCCTGGGCTACAAAGTGACCTCAAGGCCAGCCTGAACTGCATAGCCAGACCTTGTCTTAAAAGGACAAAGATAAATAAATAAATAAATAAAATAAAAAATAAAAAGAGTAAGAGCTCTTTACATATAGGGCCATTAGTAAGGAAATCCTTGGTTTGGAGTTCAAACTCCAGCCTAAAGGCGACCGTAGGCTTCTCAGGCCGGATAGCAGGTGCCTGTACTGCTATAAAAAACACCGCAGGTCCTGGATGTCTCCGACACCTTCAGCCAAGAAGTAACCGGTGGCCCAAAGCCGGCCAGGAGCCCAGACGTCAGGCAACGCCCGCCAGGCGCCGCGCGGCGACCGCAGTGCGCAGTAGCGGAAGTTGGACCGCCCTTCCCCCACCCGCTTCCGCCCGCGGCTCAGTTCTCCCGCCTCCGCCTCCGCCGCTGCTTGTGGAAGTCCCGCCATGGCTCTGTCACGGGGGCTGCCCCGGGAGCTAGCTGAGGCCGTGGCCGGGGGCCGGGTGCTGGTAGTGGGCGCGGGTGGCATCGGCTGCGAACTCCTGAAGAACCTCGTGCTCACTGGCTTTTCCCACATCGACCTGGTGAGGGCCAGGCGCGCGCTGCTGAATGGCGGGCTGGGGTGCAGGAGCCGGGGGGCTTGGGGCCCGGAGTTCGGAGCAGAGTTGCGGGGCGGGCGCGGCCCACGAGGCCCGGGTCGCGGCGGCGGGCGGAGGGGGAACTGTGTACAGGGCCAGGGCCGCCGTCCCGGCCGTCCTGCGTACCCGGGACCCCGAGGCCGCTGCCGGGGTCCTCCGAGCGCTCTGCCGCGGGGGCGCCTCCCGCGCCTCGGACCCCGCCAGTTGTGGCGCGTCCAGGGCGTGCAAGCGGCTTCGTGTTTGTTTTTGGCTTTTCCTTCAAAACTGTTTCGCAGCTGCAGTGGGATGTAGGAGGGGATTGTTTGAATCCCTCGTGGATGTTGCGCCTTAAATTTGGAGGTTTCCCCAATTCAGCAATAATCACGCAGATCCGCCAACAGAGGTGATAGCAACCGACGCGTCTGAGCGCTTGTCCCGAGCGGTGTACACGCATTAACTCATTTAATCTTAACTGCCACCGTGTGGGTGCAAACATTTTCATTCCATTTTATTTTTAACACGTGAGGGAAGTGAGATGCAATGAGGTTTAGAAACTTACCCAGGGTCATGAACCAAGCGGCAGAACTGTTGGATTCGCGCTCCTCTCCACCGGGCAGCTTCATTAAAACCGTTACGATTTTAACTTTTGGCATTATTGACAGTGCCAGAGCCGGGCGTGGTGTTAGCTGGAGCCTGTAAATTTTGGAGGCTGAGGCAGAACCATCGCGGAGAATTCGAGGCCAGCCTCAACTACATAGCAAGACCCTATCTTTAAAAAACAGTGACATGAAGAAAGCCTTTATGATTTTAGTTTTTTTTTTTTCCCCGGTACGGGAATCGAACTCACAACCTTGCGCTTGCCAGGCAGGCGCTGTGCCACTGAGCTAAATCCCCGGCCCCAGCCACTATAATTTTAAATCACTTTTTTTTTTTTTTAAGAGACTGGGGACATTGGCTGGAACTTGGGTGTAAGTTTATTATTTTTTTTAAAGCACACTTGGGGAGTTTAAAGTGTGTAGTGTAAACACGGAATGAAAAACCATAGGTGGCAAACTGAACTAATGAATAACTGGAAGGAAAGTATTTACACACTCTTCCTTTGGCTAGTCTTCATGTCCTGTCCGATTCTCTGTCAGACACCTGATGTGCTGATAATTGGTGATACATGTTAAAGGAACTGTTTTGTAATAGATGAGGTAGTGAGCTTAAGCACATGAAAAGTAAATGGTTATACTTTTTTATATATTTTTGTTTGGTTTTATTTCATTTTTATGGTAGTGGGGATTCAAACCCGGGAGCCCTGAGCTACACTCCCTGCCCTTACCACCTTGTAGTTGAGGCTGGTTTGGAACTCTCGATGGTCAGCCTCCTGAGTGCTGGGTTTACAGGTATGCGCCCTTATGCGGGGCTGCCAGCCCCTTTCATTGAGATATTTTATTGTGAGACAGTGTCACTAAACTCCCCAGGCTAGTCTGGAACTTGAAATAGTTCTGCTTCAGCCTTAGGAGTAGCTGGGATTACGGGTATGAGATACCAGGCCAGAGTTGAGTTAATTTTTGTGGTAAGTTGAGGAAGTAAAAATAAATGTTTAGGTGATTCTATGTTTTGATGATTTTCATGAACTATAGCCAAAACTATTAGTATGTTTCACAGTTAACATTTGATTGCTGTTTATATAAACTTACTGAAATGGAATGAAAATTTTTTTGTTTTTGTTTTTGTTTTTTTTCCGGTATGGGGAATCGAACTCAGGACCTTGCGCTTGCCAGGCAGGCGCTGTGCTGCTGAGCTAAATCCCCAGCCCCTGCCTCAGCCTCTTGAGTGTTGGGATTACAGGCATGTGTCACCATGCCCAACTGCTTATATTTACTTTGAAGCAGTAGTAGGTAATTTAAATTATGACACTTAATGGCTGGGTAGGCTGGCTCATAATTCCAGCTATTTGGGAGGCTGAGGCAGGACCATCTCAAATTCTAGGTTATCCCGGGCTAGTTAGGGAGATCCTATCTCAAAATAAGAATTTTTGAAAAGGGCTGGAGTGTAGCAGAGTGCTGTCTGGAGTCAATCTCCAGTACCTACAAAAAAACAAAAAAAACTTTTTTCTTTAAAAAAAAAAAAATTATTTATTTATTTCTTTATTTTGGGTACTGGGAATCAAACTCAGGACCTCTCACTTGCAGGCAGGTGCTTTGCCACCAAGCTATATGCCCGACCTTTTTTAAAAAAACTGCCTGTAGAAAAGTTCCTTCATTTACTTAGGTAATAATTGTAAATGAATTGTATTTATAAAAGGACAAATTTGAGAATACTGCAAAACTTTAGTAAATCTCTTTGCCGTATACTACTTACTTTTTTGCCGTGTATTATGTAGTAAGAACAGGGTGCATTAAAGTTTATATTAGATTTGAAAGAAGAATTAGATTGTTAGAGGAATGTTATTTTTTCAGTAAATTCACATGCTTTATTCCATCTAAGGGTTTTCTTCAAATATTTGCATGGGTGATTAAAGAAAGAGCTTTTTTTTTTTTTTGAGACAAGGTCACACTATGTAGTTCAGACTGGCCTTAAACTCACTGTGTAGCTCAGGCTTACTTGGAACTCATTGTGATGCTCCTGCCTCAGCCTCCCAGGTGCTGGGATCACAAGTGTGTGCCACCATGCCTGACGGTCCTTTTTAAATGTATTTTTGAGAAGATATCTTTGATACTGTCTTAGTTCTTTTCATGTTATTTTTATCAATTTAACAAAGTTTGTCTGACTGGCCCAAGTATTCCTTTGCTAATACAGCAAATAACAGAAGTTCCAGCTGGGCATGGTATACATTCCTGTAATCCCTGGACTAGGCAGGTTGAGGCAGGAGGATTACTGCTAGTTCGAGGCCAGCAGGAACTATATAGTGAGACCCTGTCTCAAAAAAAAAAAAAAGTTCTGGGTTCTGGGTGCTGAGGAGTGCTACTCAAACAAGCCAGACTTTTTGTGATTTATCTGAGATTTGTGCATTTGTAGATTGATTTGGATACTATTGATGTCAGCAACCTCAACAGGCAGTTTTTATTTCAAAAGAAACATGTTGGAAGATCAAAGGCACAAGTAAGTATTTCTCATACTGTTTCTATAACCCCTTGATGGATCTTTTATTTATGATAGCAAAATAATTCTGTCTCTTCTGTAAGAGAGAGAAAAGGGGTGCAGCTATCTCTTTAGGTGAAGGATTGTTAAGAGTAAAAAGATACATTAAGTAAAGGACCAAAGTACAGAGCTCTGCATTTTTGGTTTACAAAGGAAATAGAAGTGCTCTATCTAAGTCTGTAACTGTGGTGATTTGTTGTGTGGCTTTCATATTTAAATCTTTGATGGTTTACTTAGGATGAGCCTTGTTTTCCTATACCCCATGAAGAGTAACTTCTCTATGAGAAGCTTCAAGCTTTATGATTTGGGCTTTGTTTTTAGCATATTCCAGACTGACCTGGAACTCACAGTGACCCTCCTGCCTTGGCTTCCCGAATGGTGGGATTATAGGTGTGCACCACCACATCTGGCTGATTTGGGGTCTCACAGCATCTTTCTTTCCCTTTAGCTGTTACCAGCTATTTTGTCTGACTCCCACTTGTTTCTCCCTGTTCCTTTTTTTATATTTTGGCTCCTTTATCCAGGAGTACTTTGCTCATCCTTTTAGATACAGTCAGGTCTTCTATAACAACGTGGATCCTCATGGTTTGCAATTACACTTACCTGGATGGTTTTATAATTACTGTCTTTTGCTCAGGCTCTTCAGTGAATGAATAACACTTGGGCTATTGTGTTTTATGTTTTATTATTTTTATTTTTATATATATTTATCAGGGGTGCTGGGGACCTATGAGGCACTCTACCATTAAACCATCCAGCTACAGTTTCAGCAGTGGCCTCAGGGTCCCCCCACTTTTTTTTTTGAGACATGGTCTTAAAGTGATTTAAACTCACTTTGTAGTGCAGGTTGGCCTTGATATTCCTGCCTCAGCCTTTTGAAGTGCCTGGATTACAGGCATGGGCCACCAGTTCCAGCTCTTTATTTTTAAAACAAGATATCACTAAATCATCAGGCTTGGCCTTGAGCTTTTGCTCTTTCTGCTCCAGCCTTGTGAATAGCTGGGAGGATAGGCACACACCTATGATAGTATGTTTGGCTATTTTTATTTTAATTTTCATATAGAAATGCATCTGGTATATGTGGTGGGGTTGAAGGCTTTCCTTTTTTTTATAAATATATATGTAGCTAAATCTTAATGAAATTTCATCACATTTGTGTATTTTTTTAGTATTTTATGCAGGGTTACTAAGTAAGTGAGATAATAGTGCTTATGTCCTGTTAGAAGCAGATTTTAAATACAAATGTTATAGTTCGTTTGTTTATACTATTGTTTGTTTTTCCAGGTTGCCAAAGAAAGTGTACTACAGTTTTACCCGAAAGCTAATATTGTAGCTTATCATGACAGCATCATGAAGTATGTTATAATTATTTTGAGTAGTTGTGTTTGCTATGAATTTTTAATTAAACTTTTGAACTATAAGGTATTTTTCTTAGCCAAAATATAAGCCAAAAATACTCTTTTTTTTTAAAAAAAGACTTTTATAGAATAATTAAAATGTGATTATTTGTGCCCACATAAGTTAGGTTGCCGTCTTTTTAACCAGTTTATGTACATTTAAATGATACAGTGTTTTTCATAAGTGAGTTGCTTAGAAACTTAAGTGAACATTACATTTTTGTTCCACATTAAGAAGGTATTTTAAACTGTTCTTGTATATGATGATTCAAACTTCTAAATATATTTTATTCTGACTGATTTCAGCTTAAAAATTTCCCTTCCAAAGTGATATATTTATTAGGACTCTGACTTCTGTAATACGACACTGGGGATTGTTCTAGGGCAGTAACAAACCACCCCTCAACCCCGCCAGCGAACCACTGTCCCCGGAATTGAACCCAGGGCCTTAGTACTGAGCTACATCCCCAACCCATTTTTTCACTTTTAGACATATTCTTCCTAAATTTTCCAGGCTGGTCTTAAACTTGAGATCCTCCTACCACAATAACCTGGAGTGCTAGGATTACAGATGTGCTGCACCATTTTGGTTGGGGTACACTTGTCTCAGTAAAAATAGAGTATATACATAATTTTGGAGGTGTTGGAACAGAAGAACTGTTCATTTCCCTGCCAGTGATAGGGATTAAACCTAGGGCTTCTGGCAAGTGCTGTACCCCAGAACTATGTAGCACTAGTCCCTAAATTACCCATTATCTATAGTTGTTCCCTAGCTCACAAGAACATTACTATTAAAAGTAGTACTATTAAAAATAGTTCTTATTTGCAGTACTAGGACTAGAAAAAGTCTTATCCTTTCTCAGGGCATTTTTATCTCCAACTTATTTTTTATTCTGATTGTTTGTTCTCCAGACCTGCCTATGGCCCTGTACCCTCTTACCCTGTGTTACTTTCCCAGTACTGCTAAAAGCAGAGACCCTAGGGGCCTGAACCCTGCCTGATCCTGACCATGCGAGGTAAAGCTGTAGGCCATGTCGGTCCTGGGAATGTGTTCTTTGTGTGTTCCCAGGCTCGCTGCCTTGAGAAGGCCTGGAGGGACTAGTGAGGTCATGCCATCTTTCTGTCGGTTTGAGATCTTGTTCTTGTACCCTGGGTAGCTGGCCAAAAAGGAGAGAAATTTGAGGGAAGTAATTTCTTTGACATCTGCTTTTGTTTGGAAAAAGTCAAACCTCACTGTGTATATTGTATATAACCCTAACAGTAGTTATTTTTGTGCTTTAAGGACCCTGAATTATACTGTGAATGTTATGTATAAGGCTAATTTTGGTAACCTTTTTGCTTTGCAGCCCTGACTACAATGTGGAATTTTTTCGACAGTTTATATTGGTTATGAATGCATTAGATAACAGAGGTGAGATTATTTTATTATTTTATTTTTTTTTATTTTTTGGGTGGAAGGTACTGGGAATTGAACTCAGGACCTTGTTCTTGCTTGTAGCACTGAGCTATGTCCCCGGCCCTGGTAAGATTATTATTATTATTATTATTATTATTTTTTTTTTTTTCCGGTACCTGGGAATCAAACTCACAACCTCGTGCTTGCCAGGCAGGCGCTGTGCCGCTGAGCTAAATCCCCAGCCCCCCCTGGTAAGATTATTTTAAAACTTTAAACTCAGCTTTTCCCCTTCCCCATATTGAAGCTCTTTAAAATTTTAGTATTAGTATAACTATTTCCTTATGAGGTAGAAATTCAAAGACCTAAAGGCAAATAAGACCAGGTTTAAAGCTTGGCAATTTATTGCAATTTTATCCAGAACTGATTTTTTTTTTCTAGGCAGAAATACAGCTGTCATGCTAGGTATATTGGTATGTGCTTGTGATCCCAGCACTTGGGAGGCTGAGGCAGGAGAATTGCCATGAGTTTGAGACCAGCCTGGGCTACATGGCAAGACACTGTCTCAAAAAGACAAAAAAGAAACTACCATGCTTTGTCTGTTTTTCTTGACTAAATTGATTGGTGCTCAAGCATGCACTGTGTAGACAACAGTGAGATGCTCTATAGAGGAGGGCAGAGTGCAGTGCTCACTCTCTCCTTGTGCCTGTCATACACTGTGCATCAAAACCCTCATGTATCAGACACTACATATGCTTGTGTGACTTGGCAGGGAACACACAGTGACAATTGATAATTATATTTTATTTATTTATTTATTTATTTATTTTTTTTTTTGATTTTTGTTTTTCTTCCGGTACCAGGAATCAAACTCTTGACCTTGTGCTTGCCAGGCAGGCGCTTTGCCACTGAGCTAAATCCCCAGCCCCGATAATTATATTTTAATATATGCTCGTAGGTGTGTGCCTGT